TGGACACGACCAGCTCTCCTGTCATCGGCGATGTCAAGCCCTCCAATCTGGCCTTTTTCTTTGGACCACCGTGACCGAGTCGTGCCGCGTGGACGCCCGCTGGTATTGTTGATTGTCGACTAGGTATCATCGATGGGAAGACATCGGGAAGAGAAAGCCCGGCACCTGAGGTAAGGTATCCAAGGTACGGTATGTGCAACTAAATCACCGTCGACGAGTCCTTGGCATACGCCTGGACTATGACCTCAGGTTACCTGGTACATGTAAGGTAAGGTAGGTAGGTAAGGTAGGTGGGTTCTCACAAGGCGGGAGGCAGGAGCTCTCCCACAGCGCACTTTCCAACCCATCCGTTGGCAGGCAGGTACGACTTGGGGAAGCTGGGGCGCTGTCTGGGGTTTTCGTCCCTACTGGAGATGATGGGCGAGTGGGCCAGTCCTGCCTGTTTGGATCGCAAATGCGGTAGGTGTAAAATGCCGGATGGATGGTGATGGTGGCTGCCTTTTGATTTTTTTGCTGACCATGTCACCTCAGATGCCAGGCGTTCTGTCCACAAATTTCACTTTCATAACACTCCCCTTTCGTTTCTCTCGGCAAGTCTTTGCGTTGACACTGACGACATGAACCTACGAGCGCCTGCGATTTCGACTACCCAAGCTCTTTCCGAGGCTATTCCAGGCATACCGGAACACCCTGCGTCCAGCCATGTCGACAGACCATGAAACACGCAGATTCAAGCCATTTCGCGTAGCATGGAGCCAGAGATGCGGCGGCGGACCAGCTATCCCTACATGCCTTGCATCATCGCTAGCTACACCCAAGTCGTCCAAGCCGCTTCGGCTTCCGAATATCTTCTCCATCTGGCCGACAACGGGAGCGCCTTTCATTGCCGAGACGATCAAACTCAGGTCATGTTATTTCGGAGACTTGATCTGCAAGCCTGCTTGCACGGCACCATTGATGGTCATTCGCATGCAATCCCAGCTCAGGCCATGCGTTTTCGCCGCATCACTTCCGTGGCTGGCAAGTCGCAAGTCGCAAAACTTCTTGAACATGGGAGCCATCAGGCACCGATGCCTGATCATAGCTGGTCCAGTATGATGTTGACCATGAAATTTTCGTTCCGCTTCTGTGGTTCTCGGCCCACGTCTACCGTGTCATCTGCGCCCAAGATGGCGCGCTTGAGCTCGTCACCAGCAAACAACACCACTGGGCGAATCAAGCCTCTGCATCGTGCGGCGAACCCATACGGTCTTTCTATGTTTCCTCCTTAAACAAGCCAGTTCTCCTGCTCGTATCAAGCTCTTCACATCTGCAAGTCCAGTTTGCGAGCCAGCCTGTCCCTGGTCGTCGTATTTTCGGGTGTTCTGGCTGACTTATTTCACCGCTTTTCCAGCGTTGCTGTCGGCTTGCCCGGCTAAGACGATGAGCATCTATTTCGCAATGTTCCCAAGCCTGCACACAATATTATTTCACACCTTGTCAGGCAACAACATGGGTTGACCTGACCGCCTCGTAATCGCTCACTGGACGTGTTGCGAAAGCAGTTGTGCGTGTTCTCATCCTGGACTGTTTGACCCGCCCGCCACCAATCGCCGTGCATATCATCATTCGCCTCTCGCATGGTTCCCCTCACCGCAAGCACAAGCACCCAGAAACCCAAATTTCGTGCGTCCCTGCAGCTTGGAGCAAATCTTTTTGTCTCCCGGATTTGGCTGCCTTGGTCCATCTTCAGAACTGGCACATGGGCGAGCCTGGTTGAGGTTGAGCACATGCAAGCCTATGTACCTACTTGGAGAGTCTGGTAGTGCAAGATTCTGGTTCGCACGCCAACAACAGCCATGGCACATGCGACTGACACTTGGCTCCCACCTCCCTGAAGCTGCTTTCCCAACGGCAAGAGCAAAAGCTAAGGTATCATCATGACAAGGGTCCAGCCCTGGCGACCGAAGAAGACCAGCAGGGCGACCGTCCTTTTTACTCCAACGGAAGAAGCCTTGGTTGTACCTTTTACATGGTACTCACTACCTGGGCCATGAAGCTTTCTGCCCCTAATCGACACAGGGCACCAACGATCACCAGCACACGGCAGCACTTACTCCTACATGCCCCTCTCACACTGGCCCGAACGTCGCTGCTGTCCCCCTTTTCTGTTCGATGTATCCGCCATCGCCCCCTGTCGAAGACGACAATTGACCCCGTTCCAGTGCTTCCCCTTTGCAGGCGATGGCCCGAAATTGCACAGGAAGGAAGCAGCGCCTAGCTTGGCCCCGATAACTTGTTGATCGATGACTGGGCCAGACGTGCCGTACTTCGCATGTCACCCCTTCGACGCGCGCAGATGGCTCCGCCTCCCCTTCGCCCAAAGAAGTACCACAAGCCCCGGATACCTTGTCGGCCCTGACGAGATGATTTTCACCGGAAGGGACGTGATGCTCCAGGATACTCGGGCTCAAAGACGTGAGAAGTGGGGAGGGACCGCACTGCGATGCCGCACTCGCACAGCATCGATTGCCCTTCCACCATCCTGTTGTGCCGTTGTGTCAGTGATAAAGGTTCCCTCCACCCTTCAGACTGGCATGTGCTCAACTTTGGTTCTCCTCGAATTCTTCATTCCAAGACGGCCCTGCCACCATTCTGTCATAGCCCCCCAGGCCATCCCACGCCGGTCCGCTCTCGTCCCTTGCTCACCCTCGACGTTTGTCTCCTTTCTCAAGGCACCTCAGCCAATCCCACTGAACCGCCACACCCCAATAGGCAGTCCAACCCAGGGCCCTACTATCCCGACCTCCAGACCCTCCCAGCATCCCACTCCATCCCACGCCGCCAGCGTCATCCGTATTCACAATGGCCCCTGTTGCTACTGAGGAGTTCGCACCAATGCAACTACCCGTCCACAGCTCGAAGCTCTCTTCGATCAGTGCGTCTGTCTTGCATGGACCCAGAGACCTACGATTGGTATGTCGTCTCCCGTCTTTTCCTCCACGTGGGGGTTTAGGTATCGGGTTACACAAG